AGTTGAATTGAATAAATAAATAAACAATTGTTCAATGTTAATATTATATCAAAACGCATGGTTAATAGTATATCCTAACACTATTTCATGTCAAATTTGCGGGTATCTTGATCATTCTACATTACAATGCACTAATCGTTTCAATCACACTTTTGTTGGTGAAACAAATGATGTTATTTGGTACTCTGACTTGCTGCGGCCGCTCATATGACCCCATATGAAGATATTTTTCTGCGAAAATCCCCTTATATTGGTCTTGATTGTGTATTCGTTGGTAATGGTACTTTACTTGATATTAAAAATATTGAATATTCTAAGTTACCCTCTATATCTCGTCCATTACACTTGCACTCCATGTTTCACGTTCCTAAACTTCGTCATAATTTAATTTCTGTAAAGAAGTTGTGTAAGGATAACATTTGTTCTATTGATTTTGACTCTTCTTTCGTTTCTGTTAAGGACAAAGCTATGGGTCAAACTCTCAAGGAAGATTCCAGTGAGGGTAGCATCTTCATATGTGTCTTCTCATTCTCAAACATGTGTTTCTATTCGTCAATCTGGAGATATTTGGCATCATCGATTAGGCCATACTGGAGTTCAATTTTAGACTGTCTTGGGAAAAATAATTACATTAGCTTGCTCAATTTTGTTCATAGTGATTGTGTCCCTTGTCGGCTCAGAAAATTACAATGTGTACCCTTTTAAGTTGGAAGATCACTGTAGTTCTTCTCCTTGTTCATTCAGATGTATTTTGACAATCATTTGTTTAATCGAACTTGGAATTTGTTATTTTTATTGATGATTTTATCTTATGAAAAATAAATCAGAAGTGTTTTTACATTTTGTGCTTTTTCAAAAACTGGCAGAGAACATATTTAACACTAACATAAAGATTTCTCAAAGTGATGGAGGCGGCGAATTGGATAACACATCTATGCACTCACATTTTTCTAACTCAGGTATTTTCTTTCGTAAGTCGTATCCCAAAACTTGTCAACAAAACGGGGTTGCTGAATGGAAACATCCACACATTATTCCAATAGTGCGTACCATTCTCGCAGAGGCTAATTTACCATCACAATTTTGGGTTGGTGCTGCCTATTATGCTGTTTATACTATTAATAGACTGTCAACACCTATTTTACAAGGACATTAAAAACTTCTTTTGATAAATCACCATATTATAATTTTCTTAAAGTTTTTAGTTGTGAATGCTTCCCTAACCTTTTTACACAAGCTTACACCTCGTTCGGGATTGAAAAACAAATTGAAATAATTTCTATCCCCATTGACGACACCAAACTATTTATCGAAAAAATCAATAACATTAGAATAAAATGGATTAAAACAAATAGGATAACACCAATCAACTTAATTTTCTTTGGGCTAAAAAGCCAAGGTCATGATTTCTTACAAGTAGGTTGTCTTCTAAAAAATAGATAGTATAAATGAGAGGGATTTTCCTAGAAGATACTAATATAAAGTTGTCTGAGATTTTCTAATGCCTTTTATTCTTTGTAAAGCCTCATTTTGTAGGCCACAAAAACATAATTGTTGCCTCAATGTGAAATAACGACTCACTTTGACACTGAAAATGCTATCAATAACATGTACCTACATTCTATTTCTCGCTTGAAGCGGATTGGGCCAGGTGAAAATGCAACTGTATTATTTGCACTAACATTCAAAAGTTTTTCGCGTTATACCGAGGACAATCTTCTTCATTCTCCTGAGATCGTCTACCAATGATCCTTTGAGTTCGACTTTGCCATGTGTCATGGCATGATTCACTTTTTTCCTTATATTCAATTTTTTCCCCTATATGATAGAACGTTTCGATATGAAACAAAGTCATATACTTTTTTATTCACAAATAATAATTCCATTTTTTCTTCTCCTTTTGCATTCAAAAGAATAATTAAAAATAATTCAACCTTAAACTCATCTAAATATGGCGAATAATAACAAAATTCACTATCAATGTGTAGAGCTAGCAACAGATGATATGCTCATATTGATGAAATTATTATTGATGTGATAAAAATATATAGTACCAAAGATAACATTAGAAAAATGAGAAAACCATAATTATGATCGAACTAATTAAAGAGTCCGTAAATTACGGATCAAAGTTATTTAGTGAAATTTAACCAAGGGTTAAAATTTTGAAAACACAACCAGCTGTAATCTGACAATTTAAATTGAGTAGATTCATTCCGTACACCTCATTTGGAACTAGTGATGCAGCTTCAAGTTAGATACTCTAATGACCATAATACCCTCACCTTTGCAAAATATCTCTTTGTCCAATTTATATACACAAATTAAAAAAATAACTCCCTTTTTAATTAGTAAAAAAAGACATATTTTCTTATTTAACAAATAATTAATAGTCAAAATTTATTCATATTAAGTTTCACTTGTTTAATAATAAAAAGCGTATAAAATGTGTTTTTCTATTTAAAATTTATTTTTTTGAAAATAAATATTTGAAACATTTAAAAAAAATTGTTTTTGTTTAGAGGAAGTATCTTACATCACACTTTTTTTTTGTTTCTTTTTGCCTTGTTTGAAATTTGACTCATCGTCCACATACTTTTATTATTTTATATTTATATTATAATAAATAATTGGGAAGTAACACTAGTCTTTGTTTGAATTTATTTAAGTATGAAAATAGGCAAAACAGTTTGACAACTTGTCCTATAAAAATACATATCATAATACTATATATATTTATTTGTCTTCTTAAGGAATGATAAAGTCAAGGGAGGATCGAGTTTGAGGTATGGGATATGCCAATATAATATTATAATAATAATTAATAATCTAAATGACAAATAATTATTTATTATGCAATATTTCAAACTATGCTATCTATGAAAAATATTTATCTAAATCTTGTTTGATTCCACTTGTAATTTTGTGGGTGTTATACAATAGTTTTTGCCTATAAAGATAAATAAGTGAAAAACAATAAAATTAATAGTAGTTTATATCATTATTCACTAAAAAGTGGTTATTAAATAGTTAATCTGCACATTATGAAGAAATTTATATTTTTAATTTTATAAATTTACGATAGAAAGCAGTAACGATAACAATATATTTTCTGAAAATTCACTAAGAAGAGTCTAAAAAGGACAAGTTATACATAAATTTTATTACTATCTCCTTAAAATAAGGAGACTATTTTAGAAATACTCCAATTCAAATACAAATAAAAAGTAAATTTAAAAATAATAAAAAGTAAATAAAAAGAATAATCATTTTTTCCTTCCTATATAGCTTTCTCTAGAACTACTAGAACGTCTAATCATTCATTTATTTATGCTAATAATAGCAAAATATGTGGCTAATATTACCAACTGATTTTTCTTCTCTATAATTAGGAAAAAAGATTTTAGTTTCCATTAATAGCTTTTAACCCAATTAAAATTATGAAGATATATTTTTTTTAAAAAAATTATGAAGCAGGGGTATAATTGGAAAATCAATAAACAATTATATTGACAGGTGTAATTACCGACAAACTCGGAGGTCGGCAATTGTCGGCCCGGTGAACCGGGGAGACAACATCGTCATTTAATTCATAAAAAAAAACAATCTTTTTTTTTAAATAATTTATTTTTGGTTAAATAAATAAGTACTCCACTAAACTAATTAATGATCAAATAATTAGTGATTAATAAGTTCCACTTTGCAAGTGGGTGTAAATAAATTATGGCACTACCTTAGAATTTAATATTATTTCAAATATTCCTTGACCATCTTTTTCACTATAAATTACATATCATGGTTTACAATTTTTTTTATAGTAATAATAATAATAGTAGTAAGAAAAAAATGATAATACGTGTCTTGAAAAAGTATGAATATTTTGGTATTTTTTTAAAAAAATATATTTTTTAAGAATCAGAAATTTTTAATTTATTTTCAATGTCAGAAAAACTCTGCATATTTTCAATATTATGATTTATCATTCTTTCAAATTCTTCAAAATATTAAATTTCAACTTTAAGGTTAAATATTATAAATTTTATGGCTAAATATGTAGGAGTTTAACTCCGATAAAAGTGAAAAAATTTCATGGTCAAATAATTTTCACTAATTCTTTATTTTTAAAAAATGTAAAAGTTATATTAAAAATAACTACAAATGATATTATTATGATTAACATAAAATAAATAAAGTAGTCCTTTGTCACATGGATTCATTCATTTCTATCTACTCATTCTTGCTTATAATTTTTTTTGTTATTACCTCTTCCCTCTTTCTCTCTTTCTCCATCTAAATAATTAAAAAAATATCAAAGATTTTCATCATTCTCAAAAAAAAAGCTCAAGTTTTTGGATCTGCAAACCATACAAGCCTTGTTGATTTGATGATTAACAAAATCATCAAATGTATTGTTAGGATTAATTTCAGCAGTTTTTCATGAAGCCTCCTTGGTTGTTTTTTTTGTACGTATGAAATCATTTCATATGTTTTTTTCTTGATTTATTGCGAATATGAAGTTGTATTTAAAACAAACAAACTCTTTTGGGGGTTTTCATTTTTGGGTTGTTTTCCATTTTTGATGAATATACTTGTATGTTTTATGTTATTGTTGTTGTTGCATATGATAAATGTATATATTTTTTGATTCTTGGGGTTGTATATTGATGAAAAAGGAATTTTGATTGAATCTTGCTTTATTGTGTTGTTAGATATTGTGTTGGGAATGTTTATGGATCCTAAGCTTGTTTTTAAATGCTTTGTTTCTTCATTTGCAAATCTATTTAATTCTCTTTAATTTGATTAGTAAGATTAATGAATTGTTTGAACCTTCTAATGATTCAAGTTTTTTTTGATATTATGGTTTGTATGTGTTTGGATTATTAGTCATTTGATACCCTCCTTGCAAATCTGGACTTGTACATTTTTTTTTGTGGATAAGCATGACCTCTACTAATTTTATGGGATATGTGCATCTCTCACCAACAATTGGTAAAGGTGACTCTCTTCATCGGGATATGTGTCATCTTTTACCAACAATTGGTATTCGTAACTCTGTCCATCAAGGTTCAATTGGTATTCGTAACTCTGCCCATCAAGGTTAGGACAGATGGATATGGATAGAAATCACCTGGTGTCTTTGTTTCGGGTGAGATTTGAACCAGAGACCTCATAGTTGGTTCTAAATAGCTTTATTGATCAATAAGTTATACCTTGGTTAAATCTGGTCTTGCGCTTCCCCTTTTTGATGAAATGAGGATGTATGCAATTCGTTTTATTTATTTGTTGTTTATAATTATTAATTGTTCCGTGTAGTAATCCGTTTGGTGCTTCTTGATGTTATTAAGCATTGGTGACTATTCCATGTTGTTTTGCGATTACTTATGTTTAATTTTTTGGGGGCTGATTTCAGATACTGCTGATTGAGGAAGTTGAATATTCTATTCGATGTTGATGATGGAGAATAGTGAGGTTGAGGAGAACTTGTTATCTATCGGTGAGCCTAAGGTATGCTTATGAAACACTTAATGTACAAATGGTTGCTTTCATTTTCCATTTTATTGGATCTATGTAGACTTACAACTAGGAAAATTTTTAAAGTTGGGTTTTGAAATGAAAACACCTTGTATACTCGACGCTGATTAGCTTTTTCAATAACCTTTTCTTATCTAGTTGACTTTTTACAACCTGTCGGTGGATATGATGGTTTAAGTAGTTCTTTTATATCATCTAAGTTTATACTTGTTTGATACTTATATGGGTTTCTTGATGTTCATTTATCATATTTCTATAAGTAATAAAGTTTTGTGTTACATAGTTACATGGAGGAATGTGCAAGAGCTTATCGGCTGTATATGCAAAAGTGCTGGGAATATTTCCTGAACTAGAAGCTGCAAGACCAAGAAGCACATCTGGTATTCAAGCATTGTGTGCTTTGCATATAGCCCTTGAGAAAACAAAGACTGTTCTTCAACATTGTGCTGAATGCAGTAAACTTTACCTGGTAATGATGGTACCTTTTTAGTTTTGATTGTCAATATTGAGAGAATGTTTTTTGGCAATCTTCGACTGTACTGTATTATTAATTTCTTAAGAGGGATATGAATGTGCCTTCTTATTCCTCTGGTGAGTTACCTTGGGTCCGGATCCTACATAACAAGATTTCCTATTTATTATGTTTCCTAACCACTTCCCAAGTTGCTTGGGGTTGACGTCTTGTAGTTGTTAATATCTAACAACAGTTTCCAAATGGAATACTTGATCAACTTGAAAGTTTTTAAATGTAAAGTGCTATTTCGTAAAGATATAACTATAATTTATTTGCTCATGCAGTATGTTTATTACCAAACAGAAGTAGTAAGAAGAGACGCTACCGAATTTTTCTTAATGGTTACAATGTCTGTCCACTAAACTTTCTTTTTCTGACAATTTATATTTATTGAAATGTCTTTGTTTTCAGGCCATAACAGGTGACTCTATAGTTCTGAAATTTGAGAGAGCAAGATGTGCTCTTGAAGATAGTCTAAAGCGTGTTGAAGATATAGTACCACAAAGTATTGGCTGTCAGGTAACATTCTCTTATTTCTTTGTATGCCAAGTCAATTTGTTTCTTATTGTAGTAAAATTTAAGCTCTTGTGCAATGTGATAGTGGATTTTTTTTCCATTTTGTTTTGGGGAGGGTGCTGTATTAGTGACGTCGGTCAATTTGACTAAATGGAGTTTTGCACATTAATCATTTCTTAAGGGCCACCATCACCTCTTGGCTGTTTTACATTTTGGTTCTGATGGTAATCTCTATATTTTTTCAGATCTCTGAAGTTCTGAATGAACTTCAAGGGATTGAGTTCTCACTTGATCTGGCGGAGAAGCAAATTGGTGATGAGATAATTACATTGCTTCAGCAGGGAAGAAAATTCAATGGTAGTGACAACAATGAACTTGAGTCTTTTCACCAAGCTGCCTCAAAACTCGGTATAACTTCTTCCAGAGCTGCTCTTAGAGAAAGAAGGGCTCTGAAAAAGCTTGTTGAACGAGCCAGAGCAGAAGAGGATAAACGGAAAGAGTCAATTGTTGCTTTTCTTTTGCATCTCATTAGAAAATACTCAAAGTTGTTTAGATCTGACTTGTCAGATGACAATGATTCACAGGGTTCAACACCTTGTTCACCCACGGTTCAGGGATCCTTTGAGTATGGTATTGGAGCTGGAGGCAATATTCATGCTTTTGACCGGCAACTTTCAAAGCTTAGCTCTTTTAATTTCAAACCCAACTTTAGGAGAACAGACCAGACGCCTGTTCCTCCTGAAGAGCTGAGGTGTCCTATCTCATTACAGTTGATGTATAACCCTGTGATAATTGCTTCTGGGCAATCATATGAAAAGATTTGCATTGAGAAGTGGTTCAGCGATGGGCATAACACATGCCCAAAGACTCAGCAGGAGCTCCCTCATCTTGGTTTAACTCCTAATTATTGTGTGAAGGGTCTGGTTGCTAGTTGGTGCGAACAGTATGGGGTTCCGATTCCGGATGGCCCACCTGACTCCCTTGATCTCAATTACTGGAGACTGGCTTTGTCTGAAAGTGAGTGCACGAATTCCAAATCTACGGGAAGTATCGTTTCTTGCAAGTTCAAAGGTGTCAAGGTGGTTCCTTTGGAAGATAGTGGTATTATTGAGGAGGCCGAAGGGACTGAAGTAGATGAATCTGTCCAGGAAGATGAGCTTCAAGACAATTCTCTTGAAAGATACGATGACTTCTTAGCCATCTTAAATGAAGGGGAAGATTACAGGAAAAAGTGCAAAGTGGTAGAACAGATAAGGCATCTGCTAAAGGATGATGAAGAAATCAGGATTTATATGGGAGCAAATGGCTTTATTGAAGCACTACTAGGGTTTTTGGAGTGTGCTATACAAACCAGGAATGAGATTGCTCAAGAAATCGGAACCATGGCCCTCTTCAACCTTGGAGTAAATAATAACAGGTGTGTGCTCTTGTGTTTTTTGTTATAGTTGTAGAGTTGTAGATCAATTTTTTCCTAAGGACTTCTTGCCCAGGAATAAGGTACTTATTTTGTTCAGCTGTCAAAATAGTATATGCCTTTCTGATGAACTTCTTGCGTTGGCATCGCACAGTTCAAACAACTTTGAATTTCTTAATTTCTCTAATTGTCCACAAGTTTTTTCCCTACTTAACAACTGCATCTTTCCGGAGAAATCGAGTTCTCTTTTTACAGTCGTACTACTCCAGGTTTTATCTTATAAAAATGAACCAAGTACAATTTGTTATGGTACTTTTACTTGCTCACTTTGCTCTTCTAACTGTCTTGTCACGGTACATGCTTCTACTCTTTTGAGTAGTGGGGTTGTAGGTAGGATGTTCATATACATTGGCTTCAATAATTAAGGTGGACTTGCAATTTCATTTTTCTTATTTATAACACAAGTTGATATTTCAGACAACTACAATCTTGTTTGTTCAAATGAAAATCATTCAAAGGAGATGAAGTTAGGTTAACAAGTACTTGAAATTAACAACAACAACATAAATAAATAAATAAAAGAAGATGTTAAAAAGAACTTGACTATATGTTCTGGATATCTTTGATGATCTCTGCTTAGCATGATTTATTTCATATCTCTAGCAATTTCCCTCTATAAGCATTAAAATAGGTGATGTATATCCATTATAATAATGATCATAGTATTTATTGGCCTAGGTGAAGTACTTCCAGACTTTAATGCCTAGAATAATCTTGGTGCATGATGTTTAGCTTGGTGTTCAAAATTTTTCCATGTGCTTTCAATATTTTTTTATGCTTTGATGAGAAGTGTAGACAGTTCTGACATCTTTCCAACTTGCACTTCAGGAACAAGGAGTTGATGCTGGCGGCGGGTGTTCTTCCTTTGCTGGGAAGAATGGTTGCTACTTCCAGTGCAATCAGTGCAGCGACAGCTCTTTACCTGAATCTTTCGTGCCTTGAGGAAGCCAAGCCCATTATTGGTTCTGGTGAAGCCATTCCATTCTTGATCGGAGTCCTACAGCGTGAGACCGATACTCAATGTAAGCTGGATGCCCTCCATGCACTATTTAATCTCTCCAGTAATCCAACAAATACTCCACACCTTCTGTCAGCTGGCATTCTGGATGGACTGAAAACTCTTATGTCATATACGGATGACCATACGACAGAAAAATGCATAGCGGTTCTTATAAACCTATCTCTAAGTAAATCTGCAAGGGATGAAATTGTGTCATCTCCTGGTCTTATCAGTAGTCTTGCAACGGTTTTGGACGTTGGGGAGCCTTTAGAACAGGAGCAAGCTGCAGCTTGTATGTTGATATTATGCAATGGAAATGAGAAGTGCAGCCAAATGGTCCTTCAAGAAGGAGTGATACCTTCATTGGTGTCGGTATCAGTAAATGGGACTATGAGAGGAAAGCAAAAAGCTCAGAAGCTTTTGATGTTGTTTCGTGAACAGAGACAGAGAGAACCCTCACCAGTTCAAAGTCAACCGCGGACTGAAAACACCGAGACATTGGACATGCCTTCTGAAGATTCCAAGCCATTGTGCAAGTCAACCTCGCGGAAAAAATTGGGCAAGGCATGGAACTTCATGTGGAAGACCAAGAGTTTTTCTGTATACCAGTGTTAAATATCTGTCATTCCTACCACTAGTATGTAAATCTCTAATTTATCTCATCTTCTGTCCTATCCCAATGGGTGAGTTCAGTTTTTCTTTGTGGAAGAGATGTACAGGTCTGGACACTTTAAGGCTTATCCATGAGTTAATGCTATAGCTCCATCCTTCACAGGGAAAAAAAAGAACAGCCATTGAATGTGAATATAAGCTGTTATTTCCTGAGATGTATGTAGCAATACTAGCTGTTATTTCCTGGAGGGTTCTTTATCGAATCCAAAATGAAGGATACCGGGATATCGTATAACGTTCTTATTTCACATCGTTATCATGCACCTTTGTTGGTGGGAAGTAACAGGTGGAACTCATTGTATGTTGGTTTGGCAACCATTGTTACAGAACATTAGCAAAGACATGGAATGAGAATGCAAAAAGTACATAGCACAAGTAAATTTTTATTAACTTAGTAAATTTTACGCTTGTTTCTTCCTCCTCTCCTTGATTTCCCCTTATGTTTTCTCGTCTTTTTGGCTTCATCTATTATCTCATCAACTTCATTTTCTACAATGATTTTGTCTTTGCGATCTTCTTTCTTCTTGTTGATAAACTTAATTAGTCCATCAAGTGCAATGTCTGCTTCATCACTTTTCATTAGCTCTTCTGCAATCTCTGCTGGTGTCACATTCACTTCAGTTATAAGCTCTTCTATTTCACGGAATTTGTAGTGTTTTTCAAGGCCAAGGTAGTTTGAAGCAAGGATCTTGAATCCACTAGGAGTGCAATAGGACATGTGAATGTGCATGTCCATTCTTCCTGGCCTTATCAATGCAGGGTCTAGTCTTTCTTTAAAGTTGGTAGTGAACACAATTATTCTTTCATCTCCACAACTCGACCATAGTCCATCAATGAAGTTCAGCAATCCAGAAAGTGTAACCTGTCCATGAAAACTATGTCAAACATGACTAAGAAACAAAGCAAGGATGTGTAATATTCTTAATTAGGTTAACCTGACTTTCACTATCATTGAAATTCTGTGCACCATCATCTCGATTGTGTAGTTGAATGGTGCAATCAATGTCTTCAATAACAATTATTGATCTGTTGTTGGTAGAGACTAACATTCTTCTGAAATCAGCGTTACCACGCATGCTTGAAAGTTCCAAATCATATACATCAAACTTCAAGTAATTAGCCATAGCTGCAATCAAGCTAGACTTGCCTGTTCCTGGTGGTCCATACAACAAATATCCCCTTTTCCATGCCTTGCCAACTCTTCTGTAGTAATCTTTTCTCCTAACAAATCGTTCTAAATCGTCTATAACTTTGTTCTTCTCTTCAGGATCCATTGCTATTGTATCAAACGTCGATGGATGATCAAGATTCACACTTTCTTCAACATAAATACCAAGTGGAGAAAGTTTTATCACCTTGTTTTCCTCCTTTATAGCTTTTGATCTTTCAAGAACAAATGGCAAATAAGTTTTCATCACCATTTCTTTGTAACTCTTAATAAAACTAAGTTCATACCATGTTTTTTCAACTTTATCTAAAGAAAAATAACCATCATCACAACTTGTCTTTTGACTCTCCACAACTTTCAACTCCCAAATAAGTTCAACTCCTTCAAATATATCAATGATTTTCTCATCTTTGCTAATGTTGACAGCAAATTTCTTTTCTTTCTCTGCTTTAGAGATTTTGACTCTTTGTGCTGAAGAGGACACTATAGTCCCTAAGTATAGTTTAGAGGCTTCAAATATTTCATTTGGAGTGATACCATTGTTTTCTTCAATGATGAGGGTAATTTGGGGAGAAATATTTCCTATAAAGATTCCAACTTTAGACAATATTTTGTCTTGGAGATTTTTGGGTATAAGTTGGTTTGTCATGTTTTTAACCTCAGAGACTAAAGTTCTAACTAGAACTGCTGAAGCAGTTAAAGTTGTATATGCTGATAGAACTGATGTTGTTGAAGGCATTTTTGAAAGGGAAAACATATTTTTTTTGGAGTTTTAGACAAAGTAATTTGTATTTGAATTGGTTGAAGTTATTTGCCAAGAAGTGGCATTTATAGTTGTTAAAAAAATGAAAACTTTCATGTGAAGCTTTTGGAAATATTGTTGATTGAGGCATGTGAATGACTTGGTCCAAAAGCTTGTTTAACAATTAGAGAATGATAAGGTTAGAGTTGTAAATGGACAAAGGTTGTGAAGCAATTCTTGGGAAGGGTCTTGTTAAATATGTAAAAAAAGGGGGAAAAGTGGGAATTATTCAAAAATAAAATTTCATGGACATTATTTGCTGACTTTTATTCTGTCTTGATATTATATTTTAATCAAGGATAACGATATAAAATATTTTACCCCTTAGTTACTCACTCTGTTTTAATTTATGTGATACAATTTAATTTTGATATAAATTTTTTTTAAAAAAAAGTCTTTTTGAAACTTGTGATCTAAAATAAGTTAAGTATGAATTAACTAGATTCGATTTTAACTTAACAAAATCAATTTCCGGCCAAAATAACACAACATTATGTGTGTGTGTGTATGTATATATATATATATATATATATATATATATATTATTATTAATTATAGTAAT